GAGATAATTTGAGGAATATGTGAAGTCGAGTTTGGCGTTGCTACTGCGTATGGTGCGCAGTAGTAACTGTTGCGTGTCTTATTAGGCTAATTTCAGGGCTTAATTCGATAATTTGAATCATTCACATTTTAAAAGGCATTGAATAGAATATATCTATTAAAAATCATGTCAACTGGATATCGTTGGCCTTTTTATCGAATCACATTTGTATTTATAAAAAAAAAAGATAAATGTAATTTTAAATATAAAACTCAATACAAATGTGATTTGATGAAAGAGATAACGATATCCAATTAACGTGATTTTTTACAGACGTATTATACTTGATACCTTCTAAAATGTGTACGGTTTAGATTATTGAATTAGACCCTGAAATGAGCCCACAAGGTGCACAACAGTTGCTGAACCCCAAACTATGTAAATTCTATTATGAGTCTTATTTCGATAATTTAAATAATTTATTTTGTATGACTTTCAATATATATTATTTATAAAAAAAAATTAAGTTAATTCGATAATCGTAACTTTTTTATTTTATTACATCTGTTTCTAAAAAAATATAGGTGATTTATTTTAATAATATAATTATCGTCCATTTTTTTAAAGATAAATGCAATAAAATGAAAAAATTATAATTATTAAATCGATCTAATTTTCTCATAAATAATATATATTGAATGTCTTATAAAATAAACGATTCAAATTATCAAAATAAAATTTGTAAACCCTTCAAATTCTCTGACCCTTAAAAAATTACTTAAAATTTTCAATCAATTGACAACATTCATATGTACCCACAAAAGGACAAGTTTAAAATTGTATTATATATTTAACATTTTTTAGGTAATAATTTGATTTTTTTGGGGATACTATATTTTTTGTTGGAAAAAATTTATTTACATACTATGCAAAATCTTAGGCCAAGTTTGGCATGATTGAAAAAAGACAAAAAGTCACTATCCTATTTAAGTCACATCATCTTATTTAAGTCACATCACCTCTCTAACACATCACTTCAAACCCAACCCATATTTCATGAAAAGTCAAAAAGTACACTTATTTAGTCTTCCCAAACTAGGCCTTAGTATATATTATTTGTGTCATAATCATATGTTGGGACATAAACTGTTTGTCCAAAAAAATGAATTGATTTTAATTTCTGTATGGACATGGTAGGCGCTGTCACAACACTCGTGCTGTGATGGCCCATTAACTGAGTTTATGTTGATGATCTGAATCGTTCGTATTATAAAATTTGTTAAACATATTATTCATAAAAAATGAGATTAAACGGATATGTATAATCCTCAAGAACCAGCCATAATTATTTTCTAAAAGATTATCAAAATCATATTAAGCATTTATTTTTTGAAACATAAATATGCTTTGGTTTATGAAGTTAAAGATATTTAATTAATTTAATTTTTTTAATAAATAATCTATTTAATAAAATTATAAAATAAAGAATTCAAAATATCAAAAATAAGTTGAACACGAGTCCTTCCTCAAGGGCCCACAGCACAGTGCTGTGATGTGCTTAGGCACACAACACGAACCATAGACTCGTCTCTGTAATTTGTAATTGTAGTTTTATTAAAAAAATTAATATAATTATATAAAAAATATAAAATTAGTTTTATTTATATAAATATATATATCTCTGTATTTTGTAGGCAGTGGATTCATTTGAAAAGCTAGTTAAAAGCCAACTTTCAGCTGTTAATCCATTTTGAGCCTTCTTTTGGAAAGACAAGATTGAGGTGTTTTTTGCTATTTTAATCACAAAAAATAAAATAATTTTTTTAATTTAATAAGATAAAATATCACATTTAATTCATAATCATTATATTATTTATTTCACTTTTAATCATAATTTTATATTCATATTTGAGTGTGATGTTTGGATATAATTTTAAAAAATTAATTTTACACTCATTTTTGCAAACTCGTTTTAGGCGGGACTTTGAATTGTGAAATTTGACCTATCTGGTTGTCCTCACAGGCGTCCAACTAGTTGACCGGCAGGTTGACCAGAACAATATTCTTTTTTTTTTTGAAAAAATTGGCACATGTTATTTTTTATATTTTAAATAAAAAATATTTTAAGAATTTTTTTTTAAATTTTTTTATGAGCTTTGAATAGAATTTTGGGTTATGCGTTTGGTTATGAGTTGTACGTTTTTGAATCAAATATTATATGTCACACCAAAAATTTCAAACTCAATTAAAACCTCTTTTAAAAACTCATAACTAAGCAAATTTTTTACACTCAAATCATAATTCCAAAACTCACAAACTTAAAATACAACTTCATTCTCAAATCATAATTTTAAAATTCTACCAAACGCTACCTAAGTTTTTAACCAAGTCTTCGTTTGGGATGTGAATTGATTTTTTGACTTTTTGATTATTTTAGTTTGAGGTTAACAAGTCTAGTTTGTAATGACTTCTTGGCTTTTTTAAATTTTGTGAGATAAAAAATAAAATAATTATGATTTAAATATGATATTTTGTTTTATTGATTTTTTTAATTTATTTTATCTTTTTGTGATTTTTTTAACCCAAATATGACATGTCAAATATAGCCTAAAAGCTAAAAAATCACAAAATTTCAAATAATTATCTATATTTTTTCTTTTACGTATCTTTGTACAAGAAAATAAAAAAATAAAAAAAATTCCAAACGCCTCCTAATTATATCCCATGTCATTAGGGCTCCGTTGGTTTTGGGGGTAGAATGTAGGATGGGATTAGAATAGAGATGAGGTTATTTAGGATTCGTTTGGGACGTGGGTTAGTTTTTTGATTTTTTTGGTTATTTTAACTTGGAGCTAAAAAGCTTGGTTTGGGAAGGGTTTTTAACTTTTTTGACTTTTTTGATTTTTTTGTGAGAGAAAGAATGTAATGATTATGGGTTGAATGTGATGTTTTGTTTTATTGGACTAAAAAATCTATTTTGTTTTTTGTGACTATTTTAGCCAAAAAAAACCCTCAAAACTTACTTTCCAAACATAGACAATGTTGTGTTTGCTTGTAGAGTTGGGGAAGGGATTATGATAGATGAGGGGATTAAGATGGAGGTTGAAAGGGGGATCGAGATGGAGGAGGTAGAGGTGGTATTAGAAAAACAGTGAGGGGATTAAATTTTTTTTTAATTTTTTTATTTTTTACATGTTGGGCATTTTTTTAAATATTAATGTTTAATTTTTTTATATTTTTTTATTTGTTTTATTATTTTATATAAAAATATTTTAACAATTCCTACACTAACAACTATCATCAAAATAAACACAATTTTACTTAATCCCCTCACTATCAATCATCTCACTAACAATCCTCTCACTATTAATTCTCTCACTATAAATCCCTTTCATTCTACATCTGAAAACAAACGAGGCCTAAATGCTTTTTAGTTGAATGATTTCATTACTACAGACTTATTTAAGAATTAAATATTTTAGTCTCAAAAAATTACTAGGCATATTTTGGTAACATGATTAAAAAATCAATTTTTTAGTTTTTTAAGTAATACCACTTTTTTATTTTTTTATATATTTTTTAATAAGTCAAAAAGTTAATTTTTAACTTACTTTTTAAAATATAATAAAATAGCCTATTCCCAAACAAGACTAATATCGGTTACTAATTTTGAACTGATTAGGCATGAACAAAGTTTGAATTTAAAGACTTAATTTTATTAAGAAAATTCCGACCATTTAGGCAATGGATTCATTTGAAAAGTTAGTTAAAAGCCAACTTTCAGCTGTTAATCCATTTTGAGCCTTCTTTTGGAAAGACAAGATTGAGGTGTTTTTTGCTATTTTAATCACAAAAAATAAAATAATTTTTTTAATTTAATAAGATAAAATATCACATTTAATTCATAATCATTATATTATTTATTTCACAAAAAGTTAAAAAAGCAAAAAAAAATCCAAAACCCTTCCCAAAGTTTTTTTAGCCTCAGGCTAAAATAGCAAAAAAAATTAAAAAATCAAAAAACCAACCCATTTCTCAAACCAAGCATGAATCATATCACCTCTCACATTTTTTATCCATCAAAAGACAAAAAAATCAAAAAATCTAAAAAATCAACTTTTAACAAACTTCTAAAATATCCCAATATATTTAGTGAGTGTTTGAAAAGTTGTTATTTTAATAAGTTATTTTAGTTTTTAGCTATTTTAATAGACTAATTTTTTATTTAGTTGGATGTGAAGTTTGTGAGAAAAAAAGTGAAATGATTATGAATTTAATGTGACATTTTGTCTTATTAATTATTTTTATCTATTTTATATTTTTATAAATTTTAGCTCAAAAAATCAAAAAATAACATTTGCCAAAATTAATTAATTTATTTTTTATTTTTATTTTTTCTCTAATTGCACACTGCCACTGGCTTATATAAAACAAACAAGGATATTGGTTTATTTTGAAAATTTAACTAAAAGTTATTTTTAATTTTTAACTTATTTTAAATTATATTATTTTTTATTTTTTTATATAAAAAAAGGGTAAATTACAAACACCTCCCTCGAAGTTTAGTGAAAATACAGATTCTGAGGTTTGAGAAATTACAAATTGTTTCCTGAAAGTCAAATTTACATAATAAATTAAGAGAAAATCTGTATGAAAATAAAAATCCTAAAGAATAATTTATTATGAAAATATAAACTTCAAAGGACGAAATATAATTTCTCAAACTTAAAAAAAAAATTTATATTTTTACCAAACCTTAAAAAGTATTTGTAGTTTACCCTTAAAAAAAAAAAAAAAAACTTTAAATCAACTTCCTAAAACAAACCATCGTAAAAAAGAAAAAGTAACAACAAAAATAGCCTCTGGCGACTCTACACGATAATTAATGTGATCTGGGAAACTGTGATCAGACGCTACACAACAGGTGTCCTCCGGTGTGGGCCATGGTGTTGTTGATAGAGGTACAACGCTTCAAAGATAGAAATTTACACGCCTATTTATACACTTCCATATCTCTACCTTCCTTTCTCACCTTCTCTCTCTCTATCTCTAGTCTCTAGCCTCTAGTGCGCACGTTAAACCAGTGAGGCCATGGATACGGATCGCAGGTCCGTCTTTGTTGTAGCTTTTATCTGCATTGTCGTAGCCGGCGTTGGAGGTCAATCTCCGGCCACATCTCCGACTGCAACTCCGGCACCTCCTACTCCTACTACTCCTACAGCTTCTCCTCCTACTTCAAATCCAGCACCACCGACAACTCCTGCTCCGACCACCAGCCCCACGGCGGCGCCACCTCCTGTGGTGTCCGCTCCGCCGGTTTCAGCTCCACCACCGGCCACTCCACCTCCAGCAACTCCACCACCAGCTACTCCACCGCCAGCTACTCCACCACCGGCAACTCCACCACCAGCTACTCCGCCTCCGGCCACTCCACCACCGGCTACCCCACCTCCGCAGAGTCCTCCGCCTCCTCCACCATCTCCTCCGCCTCCCGCACCGTCGCCTACGCCAGCTGTTCCACCTGCTCTGGTTCCGGCGCCGGCTCCAAGCAAGAAGCCGACATCTCCGGCGCTGTCTCCGTTATTGAGTCCTCCGACGCCGCCTACTGGAGCTCCGGCGCCGTCTCTCCCGACTACATCGCCTGCACCATCTGCTTCCGATCAGGTACGTGGTGTTTTTTTAGGTTCACTCGTTAATGACATTTTGCTATCGTGCTCCTAGGTGTAGTGAGCGCTCGATCTGTTCGATCGAGTAGAGATCTGAGCATTTTAACTAGTGGTGTTGTATTTACAGTGATGGATCACAAATCTAAGTCCCAAAAACAAGCTAACTATAATTTTTAGTTTAGTTAAGTTCAAGTTTTCAACAAACAATCGATCTTTGCTAAGACATGGGGTGTAGGCGATAATTATTGGGTAGTTTCCGAGCATGTGGCATTTCGTACGGGGTAGGTTGAACCAATGGCGTTGCGGCAAATTTTATGGTGTGATATGATAACCCGTTAAGTAATTAGGAGATATGAAAGGACCGAATAGGGTCGATTGTGTTTTTTCATTTGTCGGGAGCATGTAGGTTTTCACTAGTGTTCGAAACTATTTAATAATTTTTTTAGATAGAGTAATTTTTCTCTGCTTGTGTTTTAGAAAATGGCTCTGTTTATACCCTATGAAATGTGTGAACAAAATATAATTTGATATTGGTTTAAACCAACAGTCTCTCATCTATAAAGACTATTGACACTGGCCAAAGTTGTTGATCTAACTATTTTGAACCAATCAAAAATTGTGTTTTGTTTACCTAATAAAGTGCTTGGGCAAAACACAATTTGTGATTAGTCAAAAATAGTGGACTCTCATCAATCGTATTGATGGTACCAGAGTTGTAGACATAACTACTTTTTGAACCAATCACAAATTATGTTTTGTTTACGCACTTTATTAGTTGTGGGAACAAAATCAGACCCCTGTTTTGTGTGGTCCTCTAATTTTATATTTTGGGTCTTTTAGTCTAAAAAATTATTGCATATCCATAGGGTAACCATGTACCAATTACAGATAGTTATATCATTATGTTGTCTCTCAAATATTAACATAAATATGATGAGATTGCACTGTCTAAACTAATCACAACAGAGGAAGGTATCACCTCAACATACCCTATAAACATGCAAAAATTACTCAGCTCTTGAGTGGGATAAACTTTGTATACAGTTAAGGTATTTGCCATGTGGTACTCTATTTTAATGTGATTGGTTTATATAGTGGGATCCATTACTTTTATGTTGGTATTTGAGGAGACAACATGAGGAATAGCTATTGGTAATTGTTGTAGGGTAATATCATATGGTTATGTCTTATTGAACTTGAGTAGAGATAATTATTTTGTAATCTCCGAGTACTATGTTGCATTATTCTCATGATACTCTCAACTAATGACACAATGAATACTTTATAAATGAGACAATGTTGTTCCACCTTTGGTAAGTAGATGTGAGACTAGTGATGACCCACCTACTATGTTTTGCGGTTCATCATTTGTCAGGAACACAACGTACAGATATTCTGGGACTACCTAATAATTTTCCTTGGGCTAGGGTGGCAATCGTGTTGTCTTGGTTGTGCCTGTCCTGCTATTTCGTTTCTTGTTAGAATTTTATCAATATTAATCCTATTCATTTATTTTTTCACATCATCGTATTGTGTTAATGTGGCATATGAATTTTTTTTTTTATCATTTGTTAGAAATATTAACAAATGCAAAACAAAAATAATCTGACATAAGTGATTTAAACATTCTCATGACTTTAATAAAAAAATAAAATAAAATGTTTAACTAGTTTTTTAGTAAACAACTTCATGTTATGAGAGTTTGATAGTTCACCTGACTTGTTTATTTTTTTAGTAATCATGTCTTGGCATAGGATTCGTGTCGAAAATGATCAATCCTCACTGCTAACTTCTTGTACAATCATTTCATGTTAAACTTCTGACCCTCTATCTTGAGTCCCTTTGGATGTAGATAGTGTGATTGCAGCCGGTTGATTAGATGTGGAGAAGCTTATGTGGCTTGCTTGGAATGATGCTTTTTTTGATAGGAAAATGGTCCTTTGACCTAGGGTAGAATGAGAAGAACAAAAAAATGCTAAAGGCAATGTAAAATCATAGCTAGGGTCCAATTGTAGAGCAGTTATTCGGTATACAACGCAGCAATGCCATAGAGGGCATATTGGAACAGGTGTCACTAATTAATAGTGTGGATGCCCCATGCAGCATTGCCACATGAGACGCTAAATAATTTTTGCTATTATAATCACTAGTAATTAGGTTTGGTGCTAGTTGACCAAGGAACCACATGTGAAATGTATAGTGGTTGAGGAACTTGTTGGCACAATAACTAAATAGCCAGCTTGATAGCTAGTTTGATGGAGTTGAGATTTTGAAGATTGACTTACTATTTTAACTAAAAGTTAGAGATAACTAGTCTGATGGAAATGCTCTTAGTGCTAAAAGTTCTGATCTTAAAGTAATCGTGTGGGATAAAGTTGGACTTGATTTAACTTATTAAAATGTTGCTAAGTTAACATTTACATGAGTGCACAATGTTGATGTTAAAAACAGCTCACTAACTGGACGCCATTCCACCAACCTATGAGAGAATCTTTAAAAAAAAATGTAACTAAGTTGATTAAGCTAGCTAGGCTAGCCAGAGTTAACAAATGTGCTAGTGTCCGACAAATTTAACAAATTGTTTAACATGTCGTTTGGCATTGGCTAATATATTCAACTTTTTTAGTTTGAGACTTTTTTAGCCTCGTTTGGTTTTTGTTTTGGGATTTTTTTGACTTTTGTGAGAGAAAAAGTGTAATGATTATGGGAAGAAGTAGTATTTTGTCTTATTGACTTATATAGCGTATTTTGTCTTTTTGTGTTTTTTTAATTCCAAAATCTTAGCCAAACGAGGGCGGAGTTGTTAAAAGTGCAATTCATGTGCTATTTGTTAAATGCTGACACTAACATCTCTACTAACACATCCAATGTTGATGCCCTTAAGAGCATTTGTAGTGGATAAGTTAATAGTCATGTAGTGCCAGTTTATGTAAGTAAATGACTTGTGCTTTTTGAAGCTCCAATGTATATAAGCTAAATTATGTGTTAAAACTTGTTATTCAGTAAGTCATGTGTTAATTGTGGCTAGTTATTTAGTTAGTCACAAGGATGATTTTTTTATCTTTTTTAACAATGAATGGGTTGGTTTAGGATGGGGCCTGGTGGTAGTTAGTGGGTTGTTTTTAGCTGGTCTATTGAACTATTAATGGGCATGTTAGCTAGTTGATACATTAATGAGTTAAATTGGCCCATTTTTGTTGATGTGTACACTTCAATGCATATTTTTGGCCACTACACATTTTGAGGTCCACCTTGGTAGTTTGTGGGGCTATGCCTAAAGCTGGACAGTGGCTCTTTAGTTTAATTTGGCCAGGTTGAGATGAAACAAATTTGTAACATTACTCTCCTTTGTGATTGGTAATTCCATTAGGGTCTGTCCAAAGCAATGGATTCCAATAAAAGAACCAATTAAAGAAGAGGGTAATGTTCACCCACCTATTATTCTCAATAGTATTTGAGACCACACATTTGTGTATGTCTTGCGTACATAATATCTGTTATTATATATGCAGAACTCACAAAAATGTGTGGTCTCAAATGTTATTAGGGCAATACCACCGACAAAGCTGGATGGATAATTGCTTCAAAAAAATAATAAGGGTGGCCCCTAGTGTCAACATAGCCCTGCTATTGCCAGGATCATCTATTTGTGCTGGATACACTCTAAATCAAAGATACAACCAAACCCAAATGTGTCCTATGAAAATTACTGTATTCTCTTTGAGTATTATCTCAATAGTTAGGAACGGAACTAGGAGGCCCTGCCCTATGTGAAGATTATTGTTTGCCACAACACTTTAAAGAATATATTTTTCATTTTATACGGCAAATCCTCCCAAAAGATAATGCGCCCCTAATTAGTAATAAAATTCTAATTACATCCTTGTCAATAGCCCCAAACATTCCTATTAGCACATAATAGTTTCTTGGTGTGCTAAGATAAAATGAAAGTATTCCTCTTATTTGGCAAGGCTTAAAAAGCTTGCATTTTGGATTTTTGTAGGCCAAAGATATTTATTAAGAAAACTCTTTAGCACCTAAGCTTAAAAACTAGAGAAAAGCTAATGTTTTTGTTACCTTTACAACCTGAATGACTGAAAGTCATAGTCTCTATCATATATATGTGAAAACTAATTTGTATATTAGAGAGGGTAGAACAACTAATTTGTATCATTTCTTTTCTGTGATTTTTCTCAAGCATGACTTTGTTCTTTGCTTTGCTGCATCTTCTACTAATCCTAAAATCTTAACATTGCAGAGTGGAGCCGAGAAGTTGTGGTGTATGGAGAAGATGGTCGCGAGCTTGATCTTCGGATGGGCACTCCTTTGTTTGCTATACTAGAAGGGAGCTTTACCTTTCTATTTTATGTTTTCATTATATTTACTATTTTTTGTGATGATATTATTAGTACTGGTTGGTCATTTTTAGTCCATATGGTGATTGGAGCAGAGAGAGTACCCTGTATTTGGGACTCTACATACATTGAGTTGGATTCTTTGGGAGATTTTTGAGGGGAGCTTTTGTATTGGGGGAATTTTATTTTGAATGATTTACTATATTTTAGTGACTTGTTTCTCTCGTGATTTCCTTTTAGCCTGGTTTTGTATTGTTATATAACTGCCACTTTAACATTTATTATTACTTAAGCGTGATAAGATGCAATTTTTTTTTAGAAATTGTACTACAAATTTCAACTACTAAAAATTGTCCTAAAAATATACATGAAGTTTGCACAGAAACGATGAATATGTTTATTCACTTTTGACGATTTGGCCCAGTGTTTAGAAGATAAAAAAACCTCTTATTGTAACTTATCTGGATGTAATTACATGTACATGTTCTACAAAAATCTTTTTGGGCTTATGTTTTCCTAAACAATCACCTTGCTTGTTTTTACTTTTCAAAAAATATTTTTTAGAAAATTTTACTTAATAATTTTTTTGTGTTTACATATACCTAAAAAGTAAAAAAAAAATTGAAAAAAACCTTTTAAAAATTCACTGAATACCAAAAATACAAAAAAAATACAATAATTTTGTACATTTTTTTTATATTTTTATGTATTTATTAATTTTTAAAAATATTTTTTCACAAATTTTTTATTTTTTAGATACATCTAAGTAAGGTACATCTAAAAAAGAAAAAAAATATTTAAAATTTTAAAAATATTTATTAAAAATAAAAAAAATATGAAAATAAAAAAAATTAATTTTTAAAAAATTTAATTCAAAAAACTCAGTTCAAACGCACTATATTGTATTTTTTTATAGTTGATATTTATAAAATAAAATGGTGTATTCGCCGTCGATTGTGTTCATCCAAGTTATAGCCTTACAACTGTGTTAACAGTTTCTGAAAATTCTTTTTAGACTTGAAAATATTTTTAATCTTTAAAAAATAAATGATATTATCCGTCAAATGAGTTTATTTTTTTATTGACATTTATTTTTTTGTTGTATCAAATATTAAAAATGAAGGTAAAAAATTTATTGTCATTTGTTAACGACATTTTGGGCTATATTTTCCCTAAGTTAAAAAATAGGAGAAATTACAAAAATCACCTTACAATTTGACCTTTATAAGAAAATAAATTCTGAATTTTTAATTGTCAATTTAAATTGTAAATTTTTTTATTTATTTTCAATTTAAACCATTTAACTATTTTTATAAAGTTAATTACATAAAAAAGGAAGATATTTTAAAAATATATCGTTCTTTAAAAATATATGAATGGGCGGGAGTGCTCTTGGAATTCGACAGACAATATACAGCCCAAGAAGCACAGATTATAGCTTGTGGGCCGTTGAAAACCATTTAAATTATAATAAAGGCCTATATCAACTCCCTCCCTCTATCTACACATTTATAAGATTAAAACTTGCATATACAAATATTCCCCCAAAAAATAAACACATGCATATCTATTTGGCTTGATTTTTTTAAAAGTATATTTAGACAAATTTTTATTTAAACCATTTAACTATTACTATAAAGTAAAATTGATAAAAAAAAAACAGATATTTTAGTCATTAAATTTAATAAAAAATGATAGTTTATACATTTTATATATATTTAAATTGAGTTTAACATCTAAAATATTATTTTTCTATCAGTTTTATTTAGGGTTAATTACACTAATAGTGCCTATAGTTTGGAACTTTTGTCATTTTGGTCCCTGACTTTTCAATTGTGACACATTTGACCATGAATTTTGAATCTTGTTCTAAATAAGGACAATTGAAAATATCATTAGATTTTTCAAGGTTTGAATCTTGTTCTAAATAAGGACAATTGAAAATATCATTAGATTTTTCAAGGGTAAAATCATCAATTTGATAAAATATAAACTAATTTTACAAAAATAAATGTCGAAAAAATATTTTTAATTTTTAAAAAATTATTTTTATCCACCAATGATAAAATTATGTAAAATTAATAAAAATTACATGATTAATTTTTTAAAATTAATTTTACATGATCATCTTCCAAATACATAATAAAAATTAATTTGGTAAAAAAAATAAATAAATGTCTAGAAGATTTATCAATTTTACATAATTTTATTTTTAGTAGGTAGAAATAATTTTTAAAAATTCAAAAATATTTGTTTGACATTTATTTTTGTCAAATTAGTTTTTATTTTATCAAATTAACAATTTTACTCTTAAAAAATCTAATGATATCTTCAATTGTCCTTATTTGGAACAAGATTCAAAATTCATGGTCAAATGTGTCACAATTGAAAAGTCAGGGACCAAAGTGATACAAGTCCTAAAATATAGGGACTATTTGTGTAATTTGCCCTTTTATTTAACAAAAATAGACGAATAATTTAGATTTAAAACAAATCAAATTATTAGGGTATGAATTGATAAAATTGAAAACTAAAAGTTTATTGGGGTTTTTATTGATGAGTGGTGATTTAGGGTACTAAATTTGAAGCTCTAAAAACACCACTAATGAGGTGGCAATGTAAAGAAAAAAAAATAAAACAAAACAAAAGCCAAACTATCACATCAGTGGTGGGGTCCACTTGATGTCACATCATTAGTGGTGCATTAGTGGTGCTAAATTAGTGGTATGAAGCATTTTTTCATATATTTATACCTTTATTTCATTAGGTCATTTTTCTTGATTTACACTATTTTTTAAAATTTTTATTCCCTTATATTTAATGTTGATATACATTAACTACACACTATTATTTGATGTTAATATACATTACACACAAAAAATTAAACATGATTTTTTTTTATTGTCATTATGTTTTGGTAGTTCCCATGCATCAAAATGTTGACTTTACGTGAAAACGTGAATGTTCATATCAAATAACGTGAATGTTCATACTAAAATATATGAATGTAAATACAAATGTTAATGTTCATAATGTTAATATCAGATGACGTGAATGTTCACACTAAAAAAATATGAATGTGAATATAAATGTTAATGCTCATAATGTTAATATCAGATGACGTGAATGTTCACACTAAAACATATTAATGTGAATATAAATGTTAATGTTCATAATATTAATATATATATTCCATAATTCAGGTGAACATTCACATTCATATGTTTTAGTGTGACCATTCACGTCATGTTTGCAATCAAATAAAAGTCGAGATTTGTAGTTGCGTAATTTGATGCAATATTGATGTGAATCTTAACATCACTTTTACCACAACGTCATCTGATGCAAACACTCACATTCACGTCATCTAATATGAACATTTACGTAATCACGTACAGTCAACATTTGAATGCATAGGAACTACCAAAACATAATGACAATTAATGATGCATGGGAGCTACCAAAACATAATGACAATCAATAAGGTGCCGTTTGGTAACATTTATGTTTTCAGTTTATGTTTACAAAAATTTAAAAAACTCAAATAAAAACTTATTTGGTAAATTTTTGATTTATAAATCAGTGGTCTCAGTTCATAAATTTGGCCAAAAAATGTAAACTCAAAAAATGTGTTTCCGTTTTGAGTCTTGATTTTTTTTTTTTACCACCCAACATTAGCCACCACCCGCCACCATTTTCCACCACCGTCTTCCGTCACCACCACCTACCCCCCACCACCACTCACCACCCACCTGCCACCACTACCCACCACCCGCCACCACCACCCCCACCACCCGTCACCCACCCCCCACCGCACCACCACCCATCGCCACTCCATCCATCCGCCACCAACCCGCCATCACTACTCACCACCTACTTACCACCTCATCTACCACCAGCCACCCGCACTACTACCATCCATCTGCCCGCCATTACACCCGCCACACACTCACCATCCCACCTGCACCGCCATCCACTACCCGCCACCACCACCACACCCACCACCACCCGCTATCACCCACCGCTCACCACTACCATCCATCCGCCTGCCACTACCTACTCGCCACACCCACCTGCCACCACCAGCCACCACCACCATACCCACCTGCACCCCCGCCACCACCAACCATCACCACCACCACCATCACCCACCCGCCAACACCACTCATAACCCGCAGCACCACCACCCCACCACCCAATCGCCACACCCACCACGTCACCCACTCGCCACCCCACCAACCGCCCGCACCACCCTCATTCACTACCCACCTGCCACCACCATCCACCCACCCGTCACCGCTTTCTACCACCGTCTTCCATTACCACCACCCGCCACTACTTTCCACCACCGTCTTCCATCACCACCACCCATCCACCCACCACTTGTCACCACTTTCTATCACCGTCTTCTGCCACCATCACCCACCACCTGCCACCATTTTCCACCACCGTCTTCCGCCACCACCACCCGCCATCATTTTTCACCATCGTCTTCCGCCGTCACCACTCGTCACCACCTACCACCGCTTGCCATTTCTCACTTTTTTTTATATTTTTAAATTTTTTTAAACATTTTGTCTAAACCAAATGCGTTTGTAGTTTATGTTTTTCTGAAAATAAACAAAAAATAAACAATAACCAGTTTATAAAAATATAAACTGAAAACGGAAACGTTACCAAACAAGCCCTAAAGAATCATGTTTAATTTTTTGTGTGTAATATATATTAACATTAAATAATGGTGTGCAGTTAATGTATTTTTTTGGAGTGAAGATATAATGACAACCAATATTAAATATCAATATTAATGGGGGTAGGAGAGATTTAGGATTTTTGGTCTTCTTACCTCAAATAAGACCTTATGGAATAGTAAAAAAGAATATGGATTGGATGGAATAAAACTTTTAGAAAGGAGATTTATCAAAAAAAAAGAAGCTCCCAAGTTTATTTTATTAAAATGCTTAAAGTCTTTTTTTTTTTTTTTCCCTCGTAATTGTCCCTTAAAAATATATGAATGGGCCGGAGTGCTCTTGGAATTCGACAGACAATATGACCCTGTTTGGTAGGGCTTATTTTCAGCTTATTTCAGTTTTTAGTTTAATTTAAGTTATTTTGATGTGTTTGGTTCAGCTTAACAATACAACTTATAACTTTTTGTATGTCAAAAATCAACTTATTCTTTGAGTAGGGGAGGAGAAGTTTAATTTATAAGTAAAAAATCAGCTTATGTTCACAATTA